ATTGAGTTAGACGCAATTATTTTTGAGGATTTTGGCAATTGAGTCAACAGCAAAATAATTTACACCACATGTATAGTTAGTACTCCACAGGTCAGATCACAAGATACCGATTTAACTCCAGATGAAGGTGATTGAATAGACTTAATATGGTATCTGACACTATAACCAATTATGTGCTATTTCTCATAAGAAGCCATTTCACATGCTGATTTGGCAGGCATTGAGATTGTGATTAGGGCTCTGAAAAGTATCGAACCAATATCGAAATGGTATTGAAATAGTATTGATCTATAGTAAATTTAATATATGGGTTGTGATCCACTCATATAAATTTATAATAAATTAAATATTGAACTGATATCAAAGTGGTATCGTTAGAAGCCCTAATTGTAATCTTCCTATTAAAGATATAGTGATGTGACGATCATCCGGATGGTGTTACGATGATCGTCTATAAAAAAAGCCATAGAACCACCCATACATTTGGATATATATACTGGGCTATACTCCATCTTAACCAATCCCAAGCCACCAATCCCTTTACTGCCAATTGTCAAATAAGGAAGCTTTGAAGAAGATCACTGTATCGTCACCACTCTTGTAAGGCATGTTGATCGTCGGCTCCATAAGGAGTTGCGCCCTGCTTGGCATTTATGTCCCCAGATTTGGCAGCTTAAGTCAACCGGATCTGTATGGAGTGTCTACCAGGAGATTAACGTAGTCCTGATAAAGGATGATGGAAGATAAAAATCACCTGAAAAGAATGATCCATTAAGAAGTCGTGTCCCATTTGGCCATAAGAGCCTCTGAATTTGGTAGCTAAAAGCCAATCAGCAGTCAAAATCAGAGCAATTTACTAGGAAACATACCTGGCGAGATCCTGTCAAAACATGAGCTGCATGAGCGAAAAAGGTGTGATGTAATAAATAATCTTAAGGAAATAGTTAACAGTATCTACTGCCCTAATACAAATTTGGACCGGTAGGTTGGATGGTTTAAAACTAGTGATAGGATTTCCATCCCCTAGATAGGTTCTCCTCAAAAATATATGAATCTACTTTATAAGTGGTATTAGTATTGCTGAGGCAATAAAAGTAGATAGGCTAGTATTTAGTTGTTGTAATACAATAGAGGATATTTGATATAATGTGTATTGATAATTATTCAATAAAAAGACCAATACATCTAATGCCATTCTACTATAAAAAAAAAAAATTATTTTTTCTTTAATTAATTTTAAACTATAATTATATATGATTATTTTTCTTTTAAAACTTTCTAAATTAGTTTTATTTTCTTTAAGTAAATAAATCTTTATTTTTTAAAAAATATTAAGTAATTTGTTTTAATATTTTGCAATTTCTTTAAACTTTTTATTAATAAATAATTATATATTTTTAATTTTTTATATTTTTTTCTTTATAATTTGTTAAATTAATATATATAAAGTAATATATACCTATATATATAAGTCTATTGTTCTTATTTCATTTAATTGACTGTTTATATATAAATACTTATTATTTGTCACAAATTTTTTTATTTATAATTTTTAATATTTTTTTCTTTGAAAATAATATAAGATATTTAATCAATTATATAATTGTTTTTATAAAAGATTATAATATAGAATTATTAATTTTAATAATTAAATATTAGCCTTATTAATATTTTTTTAATTTTAGAATTCAAAAAAACTTTATTTATTTTTAGTTTATATTTTTGAAAGAGTATTTTTATAAGAATTTTATTTTATTTCTTACTTCTTTTAAATTTGACTTTGTTCTTATTCTTTATATTGTTAACTGATTAAAACCTTTGTTTTTATAAATTTAATTAATTTTCAACATTTTTAGAATCTTTGATATTTTTATTTTAAATATTTTTATAATCAAATTTTGAAAGTTTTATTGATATTACAAATGTCACAAGTAATATAAATTTTATAAATAATTCAAATTTCAAAAATATTATAACTATAATAGTTTAAGGAATAGATATTATAGTTATAAATTGTTTATTATTATTAAAAAAAAATTTTATTAAAATAAAAATAAAGCAGACAACTATAATATTAATTAAAGAAAAAAATAATTTTTAAATATATGTTTTTTTAATATAATTAGAGTTTTAAAAAGTACTAAATTGATACTGAAGTAATATTGAAATAGTATCAATCTATAGTAAATTTAATATATAAATTGTAACTAACTTATATAAATTTATAATAAATTTAAGTATCAAACAGATATCAAACAGATATTGAAGTGATACTATTAAGAATCTTATATATAATAAATAATATATATATAATTTTAGTAATTCTTTTAAAAAATTATATACTGTATATAATTAATGAAATAATAAAAATAAATAAATAAATAAAAATAATAAATGAAATACAATATTAAACAAATATATTAAATATTATTCTATAATTTATATTTATATTATTAATATTATATGTTTCAGATTTTGTATCATTTTGTAATTTCAGAATTTATAAATATATATATGTTTTAATCTAATCATTAGTATTTTCTAACCAAGAATCAAAATCCTTTATTATTGAGAAATCTATATTGATAATATTTTTCTAGTTATTAATAAAAAATCTTTTTATTATTAAAATAATTCTAATCTCTTAAAATTATTTATAAGATTATCATCTGATTTTGTAAAAAAAAATAGAGTTTTTCATTGGATATCTATAAATTTGTTACATTTACAATATATTATATATATATTTTTATACTTGTAATGGTTTTATAATTTAATAAATAAATGATTCTATCCTGATTGCAGGTTAAAAAAAAAAAATTATAGTCTTTTTTTCATATTATTTTTATTTAAATAATTAATAAGATTTTTAATTTACTGACTTGGAACTTGATAAAAATAATATTACAAAAAAAAAAAATTAAATAAAATCATACAGTATATAATTCTATTAAAATACTAATAAAATTATTTTTAATTAATATTAAACTTAAATTTCTCATAATATAATTTTTTACAAATGAAAGAAAAGTGTCATTTTTTTTTGCCACCACTGTAACTTTATCAATTCCAACTCCGTTTTCCCCAAATAGCTTACGAATTTTTCTGGCCCCAAGAGTCTTAATTCGCAAGGCAACTGATGTAACACCTGTTAGATGTTCTAACATCTCTTTGTATATTTGGGTTCTTACAGTTTTATCGCTAACTCATGTCTTATGTCGAATTTCGATAACTTTATTCTCAAAAATATCTGAATAGCGAATCCAGGATAAAATTTCTTTATGTCCAGGTCGTATAGCTTTTCTAAACAAATTGATTAAGCTTTGTGTTGTGATTTTAGATGATGATTTTTCATTATTTACGATGTCTTCAGGTGTTTCTATAGGATCAGGTATAGTAATAAGCATACCATTCCGTAAATCTCGTATTAAATGTAATTCTATATTTTGATTTTTAGTAAGCTCCATTTCATCAGAATCGTCAAGATTCTCCGCTGGTAAAGCAATATTTTTGGTTATTGTTTCCCTGGGAAACGGTTTTTATATCACATGATGAATTATTATCCGAAAAATAAGTTTTTTTGTCCCCGAAGTTTCTTCTCCCTAATTCTCTCCATTATCTCTTTATTGACCTGTTCCTTATAAACCGTTTCTACAAAATCTAGAATCTCACTGAATCGTTATCGATAATGTATCGGTCTTGTAGCAAAGAGGTTGCAGGAAATTCAGGCTCTGTTGGAGATTTAGATCGTGTCGAGCAATGTTCTAGTTCAGGTAATTCTGGACAAGCAGATGACTGCGAAATATCTCCTGTAGAAGGTATATCCAATTCATTAGAAATAACTCGGGTTTATAGTTTGATTTCCTCGATGTCATGTCTTAATTTCGCAACTTCAGCTTGAAGTTAGCATTCTCAGCTTTACGCTTGGAATTCTCAGCCTCAAGATCAGATTTTTCTTTCATGGTCTGCTTAAGCTTCGCATTTTCGACCTCAAGCTCAGCGATGCGGTTTTCAACAAATCTAATTCGGAATGCATGTTGGAAAATATTTTTATAAGATGTAGATTTATTCAAAACTTAGTTATAAAATCACGGAAAAATCTGAATTATTCAGCGTGAAGAATTCTTCACGCCGATCACTTTTGCCAAGAAAAATCTGGATATCGACACTCGTACAATGTAATGCATGAAATGCACTTTCTACGAAAGATAAAATCCTGAAATACATATGCAAAAAGTAAACGCGATTATATTTTATGAATAGTAAATAATGCATATATTTAAAAATTTGCATAAAAATTCATGTTAGCATTACATTTCTGCATACCTGTACAGAACGACCTATTATTTATTATTCCGATGCATAAACAACCCACACCACACAGCATACACATGGTTAAAAATTCAATGCTTGGATCGTGGGCGAAATTTTATTTTCGAATGATTAATATAAGAAGTAAGCCTATTCGACAAGTTATTCATTAAAACAATAAACCCTCCTGCTAATTAGGCGATGAAAACCTACTCTCAAAACAATAAACATACATCTCAACTCTGCATCATTTCGTTTTTTTAATTGCTCTAAATACTCGTTGCTTTTCTCTTTAATCTTCAATTCCAAAGCTTCATGAACTGTTTTTTGATTTGGCCGGTATGGGTCACTAATTTCAAGGCTTAAAATTTCATCCTCTGATTTTGACACCAATGATCGTGACACTTGGGTTGCTTCCTGCCAGCTACCTCGAGCTCCGTCCAATTTAATGTATTTCATCCCGATGTTATCAAATTCGATTGCTATCCTTCTTCTGGTACTTGTCTTCACTAGATCAATTGCTTTTCCACTTAAATTAGAACTCTGAGAATACACCCGAAATTCTGGTTCAATGTCTGCGTGAAGAGTGAGAATTAAAGTATCCAAAAACGCCTGCTTTAAAGCATCTTCATTTGAGTGTTTAACACTATTGTCCTTCAATGGCTTGAGTAAAGCTTGCTCTACAAATCGGCAGAGTGGTTCAATGTTGTTTTCCCCCTCCAAAATCTGCAAACACTCACGTACAGGAATTAAATCCTCCTTTTTCCAATCATAAATCTTAAGTGCCTCTGCAATAAATTCTCTCCTAGAAACACGATTTGGGATTTGAAAATTGTGTTGTAATAAGTTTGGTTGATATGTGAGATCACCAGTATAAAACAAGAATGATAATAACGAGGTACGATCGGTGGCAAGTTCACGAATGTTTGTAAGTCGAAATCCTTGTTTTATACCATTTTCGGATTCGAGAGGACGTCCATTGAGTGCTTCGGTAAGAATGGATTTGCCAAGGGGATTGTTGATGATCAAGTTCAATGGCTGTGTGTGCGGATTGGAAGGAAAATGAATAAGCTTTTTCATGATAATTGAAGTGTCATCACTATAGTCTATATATTTCATTCGTCCAATAAACATCTGAATACAGTACAAAGTCCAAGTAGTATTGAAAATGCCTTCAGGTTGAACAGGGTTAAAAAAATACCCGCCAAGTTCCTCCTTTAACCATTTCATTATCTCCTCCTTAACATCAAATGGAAAACCATTTCCAAAAGCATTATCCAATAGAAGTTCAACATCAGATTTCTTGAATCCATACAAATCCCAAAATTCTTCTTTTAATGCAAGATCTGCTGAAATATTAAAACCCGAGGTGATTTCAGTCAAAACAACAGGAGTTACGCCAGTTTGAAAAACACGGGCAATGCCTTTATCACAAGCAGTCTTCAAACGACTGTAGAATTGTCCGATCGAACTTTCAATTAATCTGATTTTGCTTTTAATGAAGACACTTTCATTGTGATGATTGGTGAGATCTTGAAGGATAGTTTCGTTTCCGAGAGCTTCGTTCATACTAGCGTCATATTCATCAATAAAAACATAGAGCTGAAGATGTAAATGAATATTAGCTCGGTACTATTATTATTAGTTTTTTAAAGAGATGATAATTGAATAAACAGAAAATACTTTGTGACCACTTGATTGCACCGCTTTTAGTAGCCTCAAGAAATTTGCCAAAGCATCTCCATTTTCATCAATAACTTGAGAATAAGGTCCCAACTCTTGTTTATATCGGTCCATAAACCATGACATATGTATATTCAAAGTTGCGTGAAAGTTCGCATTAAAGATGTCATATGTTTCGTTAGTGCGAAGTCCAGAAAAATCGATTTCGAGGATGAGAAATGATGTTGCTAATGATGTTGGTTTTTTTCCGATGTATAAATCACCAAAGATTTGATTGAATTTTTCTCTGTTCTTTATGTCGTAATAAGACGATAAAGTGGAGAGGAATAATGTTTTTCCAAAGCGACGAGGACGTAGAGAAAGGATGGCACAAACATTAAGATCCTCTATTTTAGAGATGAAGAGAGTCTTGTCTAAATAATAACCTCCACCTTTTCTCAGATCAATAAACGATCCTGTTGAAAATATTTTGAGAGGTTTTAAAGATGATTCATCAGACACTTCTTCGAGTTCCATTAGGTCAGCCTCGGTAAGTGATGACTTGGAGCCATAAAATTCAATAGACAGAAACATAAGATTTAGTAAGGACCTTTAATCACAAACTACAAATCACCAGTAGCCACTTTGTTCTTACACAACTTTCAAAATACAAGGTTTTAAAATACGCTAAGAATAAAAATGTTAACCATACTTCTGTCGGCTCCGGTATCTTTTCTGGTTCATCCTTCTTGAGCCTTTTCGACGGTGGTTTGAATTCGTCCTGAATCTCTTCATCCACATTTTTCTCTAAAGTTCTTTTTACACGATTCTACAGTTGATGGTTTTAGTCATGAATTTTTGAATTATATAATTTGTGCGTAAAAAGATTTTTCACTTGCCTTGTTGCGCTCATCTATAACATTCTCCCAGTACAGACGAACATCCTATTGGAAATAGTAAATTGAAAAATAATATAATACAATAACAAGAAGCTTTATAACATCTTAACCAAAACAAAATAGATCATATCGCAAATAGTGAGAACTAGGAAAACTTCCCACAATCCGGATTCAGGTAACACCTGTCAGGAGTTGTCCTTCACTATCACTTGGGCTAGGAAACTACCTATACTCCGGAGTCAGGTAACATCTGTCAGGAGATACCCTTTGATCAATTAAATCAAACATACTTACCTTCTCTTCCACGACAGCTATTGATACCGGACCCAGCTCTTCCGATGCTTGCACAAATCGTTTAAACCACGTGTCATTTAGTTCTGTCCAATTGTTTGTAAATGGTGGCAAGTCGATGATGATAGTGCGGTTTAGAGTCAAAAACTCCATGTACGACCAAAAATTGGACTCACGCCCTTTCAAATATGTTATTAGGGCTATAAATAACAAAACATGATTAATGCCTTAGCTTTTCTCTGTTTGCCACTAATGCACTTGCCTGCACGACCAGGGTATATTTCATAGGATTGTTGTTTGTTAGGATTAGACATTGTATAGTTATGTAAATAATGAAAAAAATGTTTCCCAACGTTTTTTATTCAGAAAAAAAGAAAAATTATCAACTTTTATTTATGGCACTTTGAGGCGTCGATCACGTGAAGTTGGTTAATCGCAACAACAATCCGATTTCTGATTTGCACATGACATTGGCCCATTATATAACGCGGACGCGAACTGACGCGTCATGGGATAATTTTTATTATAAAATTTATTACAAATTAATTTTTTGTTTTTTTTTAGAGTAGAAAAGCATTATTTTTTTTTTTAAGTAAAAGGACATTTAATATCTGGTTTTTATTGAATTATTATACATTTTAATGGTCTTATACATATTAATATTACTATAGTGGATATTATCTATATCTATAAACTATACAAAAATTATATGATTTTTAAACTTTATAAGTTAAGAACAAATAAACTTATTGTAAATCTAAACTAATAAAATGATAAATTAAAACAAATTGAATTTTTTTATTGGTGTATTTTTTATAAAATGTTATATAAAAATTTTAAGTTATTTTTTTTTGAGGAAAGGAAGGTAAAGAATACTAGTAGCATATAAGCTTTATTGAGTAAATAAAATTTTAAGTTATTATAATTTAAAATTTAATAAATTCTTATATAATATATATATATATATATAACAAATTTTGGATTAGAAATCAATACTTTTTAAAAAAAAAAAACTCTTTCCCGCAAATCCTAAATTTCTTAAAAATTTCCTTTTTTGGCAAAAACACAAAAAAACTCCAAGAAATACCAAAGGAAACACTCAAAGAAAACTTTCTCCAAGAAGAAATACTCTACTGATTTCTTCCAAAACCAAAGCAGGATA